CCCTTCCATTTGCTGCCTTCTTCCCTCAGAGGGGGAAATGGGATCTCCCAAGCAGAGTACAGAAAATCTGCAGGGAGCAGCTGAGAATTGCATCCATCATTAAGCCTGGTTCATATTGTTCAGCAGCTTCTGAAGGAACTGGTGGGCACTCATGTGCCACTGAAGCCAGCAGTGGAGTCAGGCTATGACCTGGCACAAGCTTATTTGCAGAGAGGCTGTGGGAACACTTGCACAGAGTAGACTCATTGGCCTCCCTCTGCCTAGAGGATGCAGGAGCATTAGCAGCACAGTGCGGTTTCATGGCGGAGCTGCTGAGCACTGTTGGCATAGAGGATACAATCTCCGTGGGACAGGATAAAGAGGGATGAAGATGTTCTTTCCTTTGTAAGAGATGGAGAGGCCTTTTAAAGACTTTTAGCTATCCTGGACATTAAGGCACAGTTCGGCACTGGCCATTGATGCCAGGAAGGGAACCCATAACACAGCAGATCAGGTGCAATGGATGCATGTGCTCACACACAGCTGTGCCCTCTGCCTGCACAGAGGCCAGGAGAACAGAGACCTGCCACTCATGCAGCCTCCATTGCCTGCTGACTCCCCGCTCCATGTCCAGCTGCAAGTGTCCATCTGAATGTGGAGGAGGGTTAAATGTGTTTCCTGTGCCCTGGGGTATTTACATGGTTTCTCCTGTGAAGGTTTTCTGGTGCTTTGTATTTTAGCTCGCAATGCAACCTCTCCTGCATTGGGGATGCTCAGAGAGTCTTCTCTATCCACCTACTTATTTTCATTAGATCTGACTTTCATCATCTCTGAGATCTCTGTGCCTCTCTCTCAGTTGAAACTGGAGTAGGATTTGAATAAATGCTTGTCAGTAGGAACTGGTAGAGAGTCAGACAGCCCAGTCCCTCCTCTCAGAACAGCTTGATGGGATAAGCTGTCTGCCCTCAAAAGCTGACAAGGGATACACAAAGGAAAGATGGGGAAGAAAAGATAGTGAAAAGCAGAGGAAACTGGACTTCTTAAATGGCTTGTTGCATCACCCAGTTGTCCATTCACTGCCAGCGGCCTGGCCAGCTTAGCCCCACTCCCAGTAAGGAGCTTCCATCTCACTGTTTGGACTCTCTTCTTTCATAATTTTTCCACTTGCAACGGGTTTTCTCAGCTTGATTTCTCCCTGTTGTCTGCTGCACTGACAGCCCATGTGCGATCACCTCACAGCACGGCTGGCTGGTGCTATGGGCATGGCAAACAGGGCACAGGGAGGGACTGCCAACTGCTTCCCTTTTTTCTCTGCTATAGCCCCAAAGCAGATGTTTCCCCATCTCAGCTGTATGAAGCTGGTAGGGCCGTGCCCAGCTGCCCAGAGCAGACTTCATGCTGCATGTATGTTCTGAGTCATTTCCCTCTTGTTTTTCTTGCTGAGCCCTGCCATTTTAGCTCAGTCTGCAGTGATGTTTCTCTCCTTCTTGGTTTGCCTCTCCAAGTTATCTTGGTGGGCTGAAGGAAGCCTGGCTATGGTTTGGGCCATATTGTAAAGATGCTGTCATTGCTTATCAACAGCCCTTGTTGTGCAGGGATATTGGGCTGGATTTTAACTCATTCCAAAGATTAATAGTTTGGTCTTACTAGTGGTGGAACTCATACCTCAGCTTGGCCTGGGTAGGTGGCCAGGACAGGCACAGCGGTTGGGCTGGAGGTGTTTTGGCCAGGCTGTGGGGAAAGCTGGGTCTGCAGTGGTATCACCAGACCAGAAGGTGCCATCTCACTTCATGAGAGCATTGGCCTGTGCTCTGTGCGCAGAAGAAGGGCTGTTAGCAGGGAAAAGGAGATGCTGTGGTGACTATGGCAGGCTAGAAGCCTGTCAGCCAGCATACAGGAGCTCCAGCTCAGGCAGGGATGTCCTGCAGCACTGCAAGAACAGAGCTGTGGGCTCAGCATGGGCACGATGTTCAGCTCTCTGACTTCAGCTTTCACATTTTCTTCAGATATTGACACTATGCAGGTTCCATAAGTCATCTGAAAACCCTACCCAGTTCTTGGCAAGGATTGTTCCCCTAAAGGGAGGTCTCCGCAGTGTGGGAGCAGGCAAATTGTCTCCTGGCAGCTAATTCATTCTTCCAAGCCATCTCCAGAGATCTGAGGCTGTGGAGCTGCCACTATGAGTGCACATACGTGTGCTCATATTTGTGTATGTACATGCTGGCTGCAACACTAAACTCCAGCCCATGCTGGTTTTGTTCCTGGTGCACTGCCTTCTTCACACTCCACCAGCTGTGCATCCAGAGACCTTCCAGCACGAGTGCCAAAGGGCTGCACCAGACCCCTAGGTGGCAGCTGGCCTTTTGGTTGATGGATGATCCACTCTGAACATGGGACAGCAATCTGCAGAGGAACAGACCCAGAGAAAGTGTCACAGTTAATTGCTTTGAGCCTGGACAGCAGCTGTAGAGGGAGACGATGGGCAGCTCTGAGAACAGCGTGGTTTAGAGGGGAGGAGAAAGCAAAAGGGAAAATAACAGCACAAAACAAAATGTCAAGGGCTCTTGCTTGGCTAGGACAGAAGGGGACTTGGGTGTGATACAGCAGGATGAGAATCAGCCTCCACCAGCACCCTTATTTTGTCATTGACTTCTTACATCTCGATGGAAAAGAGCTGCTGAGGATATACCACAGTGGGACACTGCAGCCTCTGCCCAGAAATACACACCAGTGGTTACAAAGGGGAGAAATGGGGGGAGGAGAGTGCTGTTTAATCTCCATCCCCATTGCCTGTATTGGGGTGTTAATGAGGAGTGCTCAGGCAGGTCTTTTATGCGTTATGAATTCAAACAACAGATTCTGCTTGAGATTATACTCAGAAGCAGCAAAATTTAGCTTGCAAAGGCAACTCTGTGTTGCTACAGTATTCACATAAAGATATTCTTGAATTCCACACTACATCACTCCAGGGAAGCCATTCTGGGATTCACACCAACCAGCTGCATGTTGGGAAGATGGTTTTGTCACTTTTCCATACACCTTCAGCTGGGTCAATGAGTATAGGAGCCACTGTTACTAAATCTTACTGGGTTATCTCTAGGCTCCTACCAGGCTACACAGTATCTCTCTTTCCACAGAAGAGCTTTGACATCTATGGGTTAAAAGCATTACAAGTGCTGAGTCTTAATGTTTCAGTTAAAAAATGTATAACCAGTGTCAAGAGACAGGATATATTGATATTGTTAAGGCATGTGCCAATGGATGATCCCACTGTGCAGTCTTTCAAGTTATTTTGGCCATGGAAGGATGTAATGTGGCACAGGGGTTTTGCAAGGTTTGGGGCAGAGTGAGGACCCCTAAAGAGAGAACCTTGTGAGCACCACTGTTCTGCTCAGGTCTTTTATTAATATCAGTTCAAGGGGAAATCCACACCAGTCCTGGGCTGAGGTCCCTCTGAGAGCTCTTGCAGGCTCTTCACCTCCTCCGCTCTAGTGCTGTGTGTATAAAGAGAACGTATAGAATATTCCCAGGCACAAGCCTTCTAGTTCTCCTTTGCTGGAAGGACAAACCACATGCCCTGAACATCTGAGCACAGACTGAAGGGAAACGGTGATGTCGAATGGAAAAAAGTGCTTACAATTAACACCAGTTACAAGTAACAGTTGCCATTTCTAACATGAAACTGGAACCTTAGTGGCCAGATTAGACTAATAGCTCCATCTAGACCAGTCTGCAGCCTCCAAGGGTAGTTTGTCCCAGCTGGCCCAGAGGGAGGTAGAAAAGCCACACAAATGGACAACATTTAAGACTTGCCAACTGGAGAAGTTTCTTCCTACTCCATACTTCTGTTTATAGAAGGTCTAAACTAAATGAGAAAGTTTATGTCTCCTAACATTTATAAATACATAAGTATGTATTTACATATAATACAGCTGTGCCTGTTTTCAATAATTACTGAGTACCTTGAAACCTTTATAATCAGTGCTGGGCACAATGACTAACCAACGGACTTTGTCTAGCTGGTCCCAGCCATGTCTTGTGACACAACAGCAGCAAAGACTGAGTCACAGTGGTCACCAGAGCAACCCATTCAAGCCCTCCTAGTCATATGAATCACCTGGCTCTGTCACATCACCAGATCATCTTGGGCACTTGAGTTATGTGGGCTGAAGTTGAATCACCAAGACCACATGAGGCATCTCAGTTCCCAAGATCAGTTCAGATGCTCCAGGAAACTGCAGGTTTTAAAGGCCAAAGATGGCCTTTGAAAGTGCAGTAAAGGTGTGCTCCATCTTTAATATTTAATCAGAGCAACTAGTCTTTGGGTTTGTTTTCTTCCACTCAAACTGATGCTGCCTATGACTGTTGCATTGGTTGTGTTAAAAGGTAGGTTGGGCTTACAGAACCTTTCCTGTCCCCTCCCACTTGTTGGCCTGGGTTTTAGGCTGTAGAAAGGACTGTTAGGAAGCCAGAGAAAAGATACTGCTGGTCACTGTGGAAGGAGGAACACCTTGATGAGAGGAGCTGCTGCTGTTACGGCTTTTGGAGAAGGAGTAAATAATGGAGGCTGCAAGGGTTTTGGCTGAAGAATTTGGAGGAGGTGAAGTGGAAGACCTTGAGGTGGAGACAGTTGGACAGGAGAGGAAGGTGGAGGACCCTTCCATGGTATGAAGTCCCAGACTTTGTATGTGGGGTGGAGAGGGGTTGGCTCTTCCTATTGATCACCACTGCCTGGTGATCCTACTGTGCTGGGGTAACATGGAGGCTGCTGAGGGGCATGGTCTCATGGGGATGTCATTGGTCTTAGTCTGAAAGAAGACAAGAGAACACTTGACGTGATTCAGAGTACAGCCTTGCAGGTACACCACAAACTTAACCTGCAGGGATCCCAGTCCCAGGCTCTCTGGCCTCCTCCTGAAGCTGCCAGCAAGGAGGATGTCTGGGAGAAGTGTGGCAGTGCCTTGGGAGTCCCCATCTCTGGGCTCACCATGTTGTATTGACTGCATTCTGCTTTGTAAACGCATATTTTGTATGTTTCCTCTGCTGGTGAGATCAGCTGACAGTACTCAGTGCTTGAGGGGGACAATTTCCTAATAGATAGAAAAAGAGCATCCTAGTTCCAAGCACTTGTTAGAGGGTCTTTAAACCCCCAACCACAACACACTCTGGGGTGCAACATGACTCAGTGTCTTTCACTGGTTCTTTGGTGACATCACCAGTGACTAAAGGTTTTTCCCAAGCAGCAGAAAGCTTAACCCTTGATTTACAGCAAGGACTGATGTATTAACACCAGCAGTATTTCTCTTTTGCTGTTGCCAGTGTGTGGTACAGATCAGTGAAGAGTTACTATACTCCTGGGTTGAGGGGAAGAGACACATGGGGGGATGCAAGAAGCTGTCCTGCTATTACAGATGGGACAAAACAGGAGGCCAGCCAGCTTCCACTCATAATAATCAGGAGCTTGTTAAGGGTTCTAATCAAGCAGAAATATTTTCCCATCAGCTCATTACAAACTGTGACAAGGTTTCAGCTCTGGGTTGTGACTGCTTTTTGCCTTGCTGGAGGTAATAAGGGCATCTGCTGAAGGCTTTGGTAGCTCCTGTGGTATGACATGTGGATGATATGGAGAGGGAAGGGGAGGAAAAGGGGGCAGGAGGCAGAGCCAGGAGTAGTGAGGCTGCTCCAAGGGGTAGGGTTGGTTTGCATGGAGAAAGGTATTTCCCTGTTTCTCTGCCTGGGAAAAAGCAAAAGGAAGGGTGGGCATACAAAGTCCTGCTCCTGGAGATGATGGTGGCTTTTGGATGCATGTTAGTGTATCTCTCTTCTGACTTCGCAAGCCTAACAATGAGCATATGTCTTGTGTGTAGGCTGTGGGCCTGGGATGGTTTGTGATGGTAGCTGTGGACAGGTGAGAGAAGCTGTGAGAAAAGCAAAGTAGTGCTGGGGCATTTGGAAAGTGCTGTGGAGGTCTCCACCTGCCCATTTTCCTCCTTGTCCCATGTTGCTGAGGGGAGTTTTGACTTTGTGCACCAATGTGTTTCTCACACAGGCTCAAAACATTGTTCTTGGCCCCCCAGCCCTTTTATTTTGCCCCCTGGGCTTTGAAGGGATTTGACCATTTGAGGAGAAGCTTGCAGTAGAAAACTCTCTGGGAGATTCAAAACATAAACCATGTTTTATTAAGTAGGAATTGACACTTTTGCTGAAGCTAATACTAGGTCTTATTGACTGACCTAAGCTACCAAGCCTATTGACCCTGAGAGGCTGTTCTTAAATGTGGAGATGTGTGGCAGGCTCTATTTATTATGAAGATAACCCATGCTCTTGTTAATCCTCCTTGTGTCAGCTACTCAATAACCTCCAGATTCCTCTGGATTTGCAAAGCCATCTATCTGCTGAAACAAACATCCTCATCTCCTGCCATCACTGGCAAAGGTCATCGTCAAGGTGGAAGGGAAGAGCTTTTGTGAAGTGACAGAAATCTGTGGCAAAACTGTTTTGGGAAGGAGTTCTGTAAATTCACCACCTTCTTTGCTGTCAGGAAGCTAAATAACAGATTTTGCTTATGCAGACCCTTCAAAGCAGTCTTGACTTTTTCAGGCTCTATAGAAAGTCTATGCTGCATCCTCCCTTCCCTCCTGGGGCTCCTCTGTCCTGATGCTGTGTGGCCATTGGGGCTGGAGATGCTGCAACAAATTGGGCGGATGTTTCTCTTAGCTGCAAGGACCTTCTAGAAATCTGAGGCATGGACAATGTCAGAGGGACAATACCCAGGTTGGAAGGAGTATTGGCAAGGCTAGGAGGCTGCTTTCCAAGAAGAAGTTGTAAATAGAAAGGAATGGTTGAAGATAAGCTTGAAAAGCAACCATGAGCTCTATGGTCAGTCAGGAAATGAACTTAAGAAACACCTGTTGGATGTTGTTAATGTATAGAGGTGCATGTCTCTGGGCTGCATTTCCCTCCCAGCAGCCTTTGTTGAAAGTGGATAGCTATAGCAGGCAGGAGTGAAGGCACATTCTTTACCTCTTGCACTATTTTTCTGACTGTCTTCCCAGTTTGCAGTAAGACAAAAGCCACTCAGGAGTTAAAATAACGCTATTCCTAATATGGTGTTCAGGTAGTGGCTAGCAGCAAAAGCTTTCAAGGAAAAAGGCACTTGGAATCTGTTTGTGTTGGGGCATTAAATTAGATTTACTTTAATTTGGACAGAAGTACGGTAAGTGCAAAAATTAAACCACAAGTAATTAGCATCTGAGGTTGCAGGAAGCAGTTCATGTAGTAATGCCATAGTGAGCTTGCTGGGTTTAAGGTTCTTGGCTGTATTCTTAGGCTTTTTGCTTCTGCTCTCCCTATCTACATTGCTTCACACCTGGATTGACCTGCCTTTATAATGTGTCCTTGACATCCAGTCAAGCTGGTTTTGAAGCAGAAACGCTTCTATTAAAGTACTGGTGGGAAACCTGAGTCTCTTTTTCTAGTACTAGTAATAGTCTGTATCCTCTGCTAACATGGCTGTGCCTCTGTGCTCCCATCTGAGCCCCTACAGAGCCTCTGGATGTGGCTGCCCTCTTCAGAGATACTTGTATGTACTGCGTGAATGTGTTGGAGCAAATGCGGATCAGGGCCACTAACAGGGCTGGTGTCTCAGTTTGGTACCTGAAGACTAAGGACCAAACCAGACTTTCTGGTAGCACTCCTGCTGCTTGCACTTACTCCCAGGGTATGTTTCCCTGTGCACAGTGCCATTTCTCCACCCAAGCAGAAGTAGGCAGAGAACTTGGTGCAGCGACTATGGAAGCCTTCAAAAGATGATGGGATTTAGCCAGGAAACCTTCAGGTACTTGTGTGAATTCTGCATCACCTGACCTGGAGGGTACCTGATGAGTCGTGCAGCCCAGTGGTGCTGAGGTGGCTGCGCAGTACAGCTCTTCCAGTGGGCAGCCTGCGCAGGCTGCAGAAAGGAGCATGATGAGTAATTACGTGCTGTGTCTCAACAGCTACACAGGGAGGTTTAAATGGCTCTTTCCAGCTATTGCCTGATTGCTGCTGTGTTAACAGGAGCAAGGATTCTTTCTCTCTTGGCATTCAAACTCCCTTCCTGCACATGCACTCATCAGCATTTGTAGCAGAGATTTAAACTTAGAGCTAATTTTGCTGCTATTTTTGCAATCTTTTACCTCACTATCATCTCTATACTTCCTTAACAAAACAGTGTCACGCCTGCCATCCATCCATTCCCTTTCGCTCAGGGTGTTGGCATTTAGACCCTAAAAGGCAAACTCATTTCTTGGCATGCAGAGTTTTTGTAGCAGCAGATACAACAAGAGAAAGCCATAGGAAAGGCACATTGGCTCAGTTTCATTGACAAACTTGGCTTTAGGGAAGATGAAATTTATGCTGAAGCAAATGGCCTGAATCGGACTACAGTAACACATGGAAATCTCCAGGCTTTCAACAGTAGTGTCTCCATCTCTCCTCTGCCCCCCAGTATGCTCTAGGATGGCCATCAAAAGAGACTTGAAGGAAGAACTAGGATTTCACTTTGGACTATAGCCACCTTTCATGATATACTCAGCATTTCCTTTCACTTCTGTATGAGTTGGGAAAGGGGAGGGGAAAAACTTGAGTAAGTTGGTAAGGTAGCCTGACTTGGTGTCTACATTAAGATGCTCTGTTTCCTGAAGTGTTACGGTAACCTCACAAGGATAAGGTTACCATAAGCATAAGTCCCTGATTGCGGGTAGTGCATGCCCACTTAATAACCTGTGAGTGGCTGCCCATCTCAATGTCCTCATCAGCTGAGCCATGTAGCCAACCTTTGCTTCAGATGTATATCCTGTAGTGGGGGCAAGTAACCTGGAATTGACCTGCTTATCTGGGATGAGGGTCCAGATCAGGAAGGAAAGACAGGATTAATATTATAAAAAGTGAAAGAACAACCCCCGAATGGTTAGCATAGATCCTAGAGCTGGGCACTTGGTTGGGAAGCTAGGGGGAGGGAAAAATTGGTGTGGTTTTGGACATGGTAAATCCAACTTAACACAAGTATAAGAAAGTGAAGCTGGGTTCGGAAGTTTTTTTCTGGAGCACTAATGGAGAAGGTGCAGCCTTGGAGAGAGCCAAGATCACAGGGTGTGGAAGTAAACAACTATTTTCGTTACAAAAAGTTTGAACAGTTCATCCCAGCCTTCTAGTCTCCTGGCAACAGTGAAGAGCAGACCATGCTGGGACCACTATTTTAATCAACCTAATTGCAGGTCCTTTCTCTCCTCCCCCAGCAATCAGCCTCCTGGGAGATGGAAAACCCTTTTGAGCACGTCATCTAAAGGACTTGGAGACTCTAGTTTGCCATGCTGCAGTTGCACATTGCTCAGATCCGTGTAGTACTCTTGTTTCATGTTCCCTACCTGTAATCAAGGTGTTACTCTTTTGGGGGGGTTGCATTTTTTCCCTGTTATATTAAAATTAATCTGTTGCTTCAACTTCACAAAAAATTTTTCAGTGGCACATTACCTTCCAATGGGAGTGGTTTATATTTCTGACCTGTTTCCCTAATCACCTCTCTGCTTGCCTATTGTGTTCAGAAGGCCTCACTACCTCCTGCTCCTGTCCATTCTCTACAAGTGCTTTCTTGCCTATTCACAATTGTGAAACAATAAATGTTTAGCGTACAAAACATATGAAGATAAACATCTACTGTGATCATGAGAAACATCACCTGTTTTCATCCTTTTTCTTAAAGAAATGTATATTCTTCAAATACTTCATCAGGGGAGTTAGTTTAATCCTCACCTTCTCAAGCTCCTGGACTTCTGCAGCCACCTGGGCTGCCTTTCCAGCATGGTCAATGAGAGAAATCAGCCCTAGTGCTGACATGGTGAAACATCGCACAGTGGGACATTCTGGTGTCCAGGATGATACTGTGAACAAGCTCAGATTTGTGTGGCTACACTGATGAACTGGTGTAATGGGTGGTGTGAAAGCGCTTCAGCTCAGTTTAATTAAATTGCTGCACTTACCTAGTGCAAAGGAGCCAGGCTGTCTTTGTTCCTCGCGGTCTTTCACTGTCTCCACTGGCAGTAAAAGACAAAAAATAATGCTGGTTAGTACTTTCCTCCTTGAAACTGTGCACACAGTATATGGGTGAACAAAACCCACCACTCTGCTGCCAGTGTCAGCTGGCAGGGCACATCACAGGCTTCCTCTCCTTGCTTCCTCTTGTTCAGAGCACCAGAAAACAGTTACAGAGCCATTTCTGCCCATTTTTTTTTCTGGTTATACTTTTCCCCTTCTTTGTTCAAAAGATTCACCTCACATCTGTCCTTTAGGGAGGTGACCTGAACTGCAGACCCACCTCCAGCAATGCCTCTTCCAGGGTCACTGCTAGAAAGCCTCTGCTCCCAAGCATGAAAATAGTATTCTGTTTGCACAGTTTATACTGCAGCACCCCTTGCCCACAGGAAACCGGCCTGAGAAATGGGTAGGACCCGGCAATGAGAAGCTGCTGCAGGTTCACGGCACCTGTGAATTCTGGGTGCCCAGGAAGCTCTCCTGCCTTTCTGCAGGTGAGCTCTGAAGCGCTGGGCAGTATCTTGAGCTCTACTATGAACCTTGGTCAAGGCAAGTTGGAAGGCACTGAGGGAGGCTGATGCAGTTCTTTTCTCCCCACTCTGGGCTAGTGTAACACAGCAAAGGGCTGTCTGAAGAGCTGAGAGCAGCATGGAGCCCTTGCAGGGGCACCAAATAAAACACCTGGTGCTGCTCAATGGCTCCTCGATTCCTGCTGTATTCTTGTTGCAGGAATCTCCTTTCTTCATTTGTGTCTTTGCCCTCCCTAGCCCTTTTCTCTTTTGAAAACTCACTGAGCTATTAGATTTGCAAATGAATGGGCAGGGAAGTCACAACAAAGGGAGCTGGAGCTGAGGAGCGCAGGTATAATTACTGTAATTAACTCTAGCAGCAGGGGCACAGCCAGCGCTGGGAGCATCGCTCAGAGATGCCGGGGGCGAGAGATGGGAGAAGAAGGATGGCCAGGGGCAGAGATCGCTCTCTGCGCCATGGGTCCCTGCTCCCTGCTGAGCGCGGTGATAGGAAAAGCGTGGTTGTGTCTTGCCCCTGCGGCATTGCTGCTCGGACAGGCTGCAGGGACCCCCTTCTCCCCAGATGAGGTGCAGCTGGAGCTCGCTCTGGCTCATACCAAAATTACTCCGTGCTCTGCTTGGGCAGCCTCTAAGGGGTGGCCCTGAGCCTTCATTGGCCTTAAAACCTTGGGAGTGGGGGCACCCATCTTGCGGCAGCACTAGCTCCTTTCCAGGCAGGCAGAGCCAGAGTGCAGGGAGGAAACCCCTGCAGCAGCTGAGGCCTCACAGGAGAAGCTGGGACAACAGAGGCCAGCTGATAGCTTCTCTCAGAACCTCTTTAACATCAAAACACTTTACTTGCTGGCTTTGCTCGGTGCTGGTCTGTGCCTTTATGGCTGATCTAAGAAATGGCATGAATTATCCTCATTGCTGGCATACTGAATAAGGAGCATGACCTTCTCAGTTTGAAGAGGGTCACCATAGGTGCATATGGGCACACATCTATGGCATGGGAGGGGGTGTTTCATGCACTCCTGATCATCTTAACAGCAGAAAAGTTTAATGATCACTGAAGATGGAAGTGATGTCTTTGCCCTAATTCTGCTAGTTACAGTCCTGGGCTCTTTTTCTCCTCTTGGTGGTATACATGTTCATAACCTGTGTCATGTTCATCTGGGAGCACTGCAGGGCTTGGCATTCCCAGTGCATGCTCCCTTCACATTTCCATGGGTATGATCTGCCCTCCAGCAGAACAGCATGGTGCATTGCTTGCGTGATGGGTCCTGCAGCAGCTCTAGCTCTTAGCAAAAGGGCTTTTCCTCTTACCGTAAAGAGATGAGGGCTGATTTCAAACACAGGTGTTGCAAACAGTAGTTGCCATTGGTGCTGTGCTTGGGGTCTGAGACTGATACTGATTTTAGGATTTTGTCATCTTTTCAGGCATGACCGTAGTTTATTGGGTAGCTGCACAACATATAACGTGTGAGATGTTTCCACAGGAAAACATTTAAAAAAACCCAGCAACAAACACACTCCCAAACTATTTTTGGGACTGCACAGACCAGTGAGCCTGAGATGTAAACACGTTTCCTAGCCTGGGCCTGTGCAGGGTGCCACAGGGCTCTGTGGCTCTGTAGTTACCCCTACAAGCAGTTACCCAGGTTTGTTAGAAGAGGATTGCGGTTTTTGTTGCTAAAAGATTAATGTCCTAAGCTCTGTTCCACATAGGGTTGAGAGTACCTTGGTGTGTGTCTGGTGTATTTAGAAAATAGATTTTCTGAAGCTGGGCAGGGACTGGTGTGTGTGTTGAGCTGTACTGTAAAAACTCCAAACTCCCCCTTTTCATTGTGGAAAATATCTGATATGAGGGAGGGGGAATGAAGCTTCTGTTTAAACTTGCTACTACTGATCAAAAAAGCTATAGGAAATAGGATTGGAAGGGACTTTGAGAGATCATCTGGTCCATCTCTTTGCCCCAGGCGTGTTCAGCGGCACCTCCTTTGCCCTTGACTGAGCTCTGGACCATCTATTCCAATGCTTCCCTATTCTTAACAGATTAACTCAAATCTCCCACGATGAAGTTGGGGTTTTTTGCCTCTTATTCACCATGGGCATGGAACGTAGATTATTATTTCTGTGATAGCAGTGTTCAGCTATTTGAAAACTGTTATGGTGTCTTCCCCCAGTCATCTCTTTTATTTATTTACTCTTTTTTGGTATATAGAGAACCGTTTTCTGTTCTACCTGCTCCTGCTGGCCATGGATCCTAAACCTGTGACCAATACCCTTCTTTCCTGGGCTCTCTCCAGCCTGCCTGTTTCAGAATGGGACACCCAGCACTGGACATAATCCTCCAGGGAAAAACCTACATCACAGGTCTGTCAATCCCAATATACTTGCTTGTCCTGTGGTGGGGAGACGTGGTTTTCACTGCTTTTCACCTTGTGTTGTACAGTAATTTCCAGACTCCTTTTTCAGTAGAATTGCCACCTAGACAGCTGTTCCTTTTTCTGTATTTATGAACTTGATTATTCCTGCTTAAGTCTAATTACACGAATATGTCCTGGTTGAATTTCGTCTTGTGTTCTCAGATCATTTGTCCAATTTGCTGTGATTGTCTCGTGTTCTATTTCTGTCCTGCAGCATATTCAGTCCCTCCCAGCTTGATGTCATCTGCAGATTTAATAAGTATACTCTTTATTCCATTATCCAAGTCATTAATGGAAACACTGACTAGCGCTGGACCCTCCAATGAACACCTGTAGGATCCACTCAATACATCTTTCATCTGACAATGAGATAATTATTACTATTTTCAAGAAATGTTTTTCTAGCCAAATGTTATTATCCCACAGTGGGCTCACCCAGACAATCTTTTCTTGAATACTGTGAGTCACATGTCAAAATGTCAGAAGCTTCACTAGAGCCCAGACATAGCACCCGCTGCCTCCCAAGCCCTGTTACCCTTCTGGAAAAGGAAACTGTATTGCTGTGACTAGAGCTGCTCTTGCAGATCCATACTGGTTGTTATGCTTCTCTTTAAGAACAATTTCTACCTTAGGTTCAGAGCTCTCAGGTTTAAAGGATATGGCTCAGCACTTGAACTCTAAAGCTTTCAGCAGCTTCATGTATACTTGTAAAATCCACTTCATACTTGGACTTAGTTACTTACTAATAATATTTATATCGAAGAGGAGACTGGGTCCCAGGAAACCCTGATGATCAGTCACACACAAAGAAGGCTGAACTCAAGAACAGACACAAGGAAGCTTGTCCCTAGGTCCTGATCAAAAAATGTATCTTGAGTGAGCCCCCAGGTTGCATGCCCTGTGGGCAGCATGACTGCAGCAGCATCAGCTGCTTTCTTCAGAGATGCAGCCACCAAACAGGGGTAGCTGTGACAGCCTGACCTCCTCAGGCTGAAGAGTTCAAGTCCTCGCCTCCCCAGACAGCTGCATTTGGGCACTGGGCTACCTAACAGACACCATATAGGGACAGTGTTTAAAAGAAACAGGGTAAGCATAGTCTTACATTCCCTAAAGAAATAACCTGTATCCTAATCCAAGAATGAGGATCAGGTTATGCATCCTGGTTTCTCAGAGGTGTCCTGGGCTGTGAGTTTGGGCAGGCACCTTGCTCCAGCCATGTCCTCCCTCCCTGTGCATGCCACTGATGGCTTTGGTGGCCTGTGGCCCATCCACCCTACCTTGCCCGACAGGGACATGACCATCTCTCTGCCTCAGGTGAGGAATGGTACTTGGTTCCAGACAGCTGGCTTTCTGGGCTGAGCTTTGTCACACCTGGATGTGATGCTGAGTACCTCAGCTGTGTGCTAACCTGCAGCAGCAGCCTGCTTGAATGGGTACCCCACTGTCTTCTGCAAACACAGGCATTTAAATGCTGTAGTTCAGCAGACAGCTGTCAGGGAATCTCAAATTGCAATTGTTTACCTCTCTTGTTGCTGGGATAATTGAATGGTAAAAAGCAGAAATACTGACTCCTCCACCCCACCAATAAGAGCATTTAGGTATTTTTAGCAAGCAAATGTGCCAAAGTGTAGAAGCTACTAAATATAGAAAGTCTCCTCTTTTTTTTTTTTCTTTCCTTTTTTCTTCTTTTCCTGAAACCTTATTGCTGAGAACTGTGCCTCATGTACTTAAGAGAGAAATGAAGCAATCAACAGCAATTTGTATTTTTTTTCTAGTTTGGGGAAATGTTTTTGTTCTGACCCATTAATTCCCAGCTGTATTCCAACATCACACAGAGCAGTGTTAGTGTGACTGAAGGGACTCTTTCTAAAGTTCCAAAGTTAAGGGTTTCAGTTTGTCAGCTCTACCAAGGAAAGACTCACTTGC